CTCTCTCTCTCTCTCTCTCTCTCTCTCTCTCTCTCTCTCTCTCTCTCTCTCTCTCTCTCTCTCTCTCTCTCTCTCTCCACGTCATGCCATTTCAGTCCTCTGACGATGTGGTTCACTGTTGGTGATGTTGCAGATCAAGGTGTCAGAGGAGATGGTTGCAAGGGCAGCGGCTGCCATCATCGGAAATGTTCACGAGTACATTCCGGAATACCAACCATATGTTAGCTGTCATATTCCAGACATGTACCATATGATAACTGGTCGTGGTTTCGGAGCGGACGGGATGATGCCGTTCTACGAAACTCCATGCTCTCAAATCTCCATGCAGGTTCCGTCACTTGGATCGAAAATGGAGCGTCCACCATCGTTGCAACGGATCTCCAGCTTAGAGCATCTACACAAACGGGTCCGCGCGGGCACTGGATGCGGAACCGCTAACCCCTGGATAGGAAATGGCTGGGACATCGATGGTACCTCGTCGTTAGTCGACCACGAAGTTGTCAGTGGTGAGAGCTGAAGACCGGGAAATGATTGCTGAAAGAGAGGGGGGTCATATTTGAAAGCCTTAGGGAGGTCATCTTCAATAGATGGGGGCAAATAACTGATCCTGCAGTCATGGGGCAGATTGCAACTATTGATTGTACGATTCCATTGGCACGTGACATCAGTTATGGGCGAATGCTTGTTGAGCGAAGGCCGCAGAGAAGAAAAGCCGTCGTCCTGGTTCCCTTGCGCTGTAACAATGCCCAGTTGATGAGGAAGCGTGCGCGATGACCACCAAGCGCAATAAGTACTTATGGGGGTGTATGGGGGTATGAATCGAGTAATGAAGGCAAGGTAGGTCGACCCTGTTGGGCACCCAGCTGCACATATTTACAAAGGTACCGGGGTCCTTTGGTCACTAAGATTCGGCGATCATCGGGGGGGTTTGTAAAGCACCCCTTGTAGAAGAGGCTGAAGGTGTATAATGCAGGGTAAAGCAGGATTCATACATCTGTGCACATGACATGAAAGTTGTTGGTCCTTTTCGGACAGGAGGGTGAGAGAGGCAGCCACAGATGCATCCAATACCAGCAAATGGTGCAGCATCTGTGTTCCTTTGGCCGTTGGATGCGACCATTCTAACTCATTTAACTCATGTGCAAAGTGCCTCTTGAGAAGACTACTCGCCAGCAACGCGTGAAGTGGGCAGATTGATCTATGCACTATGTGCTTCTATCAACTGGGCACCTGCAAGCAACATGTGTGTGTGTGTGTGTGTGTGTGTGTGTGTGTGTGTGTGTGTGTGTGCTGGGGGGCGGTAGGGGGAGGGGTGTGAGTATAACAGAGAGAGAGGGAGAGAGAGGAGGGTGGGGGCTAGAGAAGAGGTGGTGTGATAGGGGGTCTCCCATTCATATGTGTTGCCGAGAAGTAAAGCAGGGCGGGGGGAGGGTGGAGGTTGTCAAGAAGAGATAAAAGGAGTTGAAGGCCTATGGCGACTCTCAGACTTAGTGTCTATGGCGCCTTTGTGTTTTTGGTTCTTTCATGGGGAGGATGGTTATTTGCGCCGAAGGCGAGCTACGGTATGTCTGGGATATTGCTTTCACTGCCACGTTGCAATGTTCCGGTGCGAGTTCCGCAAGTGAAGGCTTGCCTGCACGGAGTTCACGCGGAGCGGCCATCCTTGGTCCTGGTTGGGCATGTGCCTTTCTTAGCCATCCATGTGCCGATCTTAGGCATGCTTGGGCATGCTTGTGCCTACTTTTGTCATGGCAGTCCTTGTGCCATTAATTGGCCATTCTGGGCCGATGTTTGGCCATTCTTAGCCATTTTTCGACAAGAATGGCCAAGAATATCCCATTACTTACCCATTTCTGGCCTATGCTTGGCCAAGAATGCCCAAGAATGCACCATTACTAGACCATTCTTGGGAATTCTTGTGCGTTTTTTTTGGCAGGGCGGGCCGTGATGCTCTTGGTCATGATTGCGCCATGATTTGGCCATTCTTGGCTATTCTTGGCCAAGATTGGCCAAGAAGGGACAAAAAAGGGCCAAGGTGGGCCAAGATAGGCCAAGATGGACCAAAAGAAGGACCAGAAGAACGGCCAAGAAGAGCCTAGAAAGACCAAGAAGGACCAAAAGAAGGGCAATAGTCTGGGACTTCATGAGGTGCGTCTTGCAAGAGGGGCCAAGAAGGGCCAAGAGGCGCCAAAAGAAAGGTGATAATCTGGGACTTCGTTTGGTGCATCTTGCAAGAAGGGCCAAGAAGGCTCAAGGAGGGCCAAAAAAATGGCCGAGAAGGGCCAAGAATGTGCCATTACTTGGCCATTTTGGGCTATGCTTGGCCAGGAATGGGCAAGAATGCGCTATTACTTGGTCATGCTTCTATGATATGTCTGTCATTCTCGGTTGGACATTGTGGGCTATATGTATGTGTGCCACTCCTCTCTGCCATACTGTACTGCTATGCTTTACACTGTATATTTAGCAGTGCGGTTGTGCAATGGCAGTCCTCCCTGCCCATGTTTCCATTTCTGATTCACTGAGCTGTACTTACATCCTTTTGGTTGGAAGTTGTCGGTTGTATCAGGTATGTTTGGGTGTGACTGCCAGTGGGTGTTTGTTTGGGGGAGTAGTCTGTCGAGGGAGGGGGGTGGAGAGTGTAAGAGGGGTCAAGAGGGGGACAAGGAGAGGCAGGGTTTAAATGGTTCTGGTAGTGCTCGATGATGGCCGTGATGCTCAGTAGTGATACAGGTTAAGATTGTGCCATTGATGATATAACTCATTGTCTCATATGCACCATTTATTTTATTTTTTCATTTTTATAAAGCTTTATTGTTACTTTTCTCTTAAATGTACATATTGGCCATCTTCTCTACCCCCAACCCCCACCCCTTTGTTTTGTTTGGTCAGATGATTGAGTATTCGCCATCTTCTTTGTATACACATAAGTGCGAGCTTGAGAGCTTGCGGTTTACTGGAGAGCGGTGCAGTGGAAATGAAGTAGTAGCTGCAGTGCTTCATATTCGCCGCAAGTATGTGTGCATGTGCGTTGAGCATTCGGGGGGATAAGCATGCCACATGGTAGGGGGGAAACGAAAGGGCAAACAAAGGATGTGACAATTTGGCTAAGTCTTTTGCATAATCTAATTCACAGACTGGATGCCAGGGAATCTTAAGTAAGGATGGGTATCAATGCTTTGGACCTGGCCTGGGGCGGATGTTTGTTTCAGATGTCTGCAAGGGGGGCCGATTTTACATGCTTTACGGTACTTGTGGTTCATCTCTGTGCGTTTCAGACCCGTTGTTGATAAAGCTATCAGGTTTCTTCTTCTGCAATGGGACCGATCTCGGCGGTCCCACGGACTCTCACCTGGTGTGGTTACCATGATGTGGAATGGAACTGAAAGGTCGGCACCGCAATGAGGAGGCTCCTCTGAGTCGTGGGTGGATGTCAAGACTGTGTTTTTGCTGCAAAGGTATCAGGTTTGTTCTTCTGCCAAACCATTCGATTTCTTTCGTTTCAGTTCGTTTCGTTTCGTTTCGTTTCGGTCCGGTCTGGTTCGGTTGGGTTCGATTCGATCTTCGAGTTGTTTATCGCCACGCAGTGGGATGTATCTCTTTTGATGTGAGCAATATGGACCACTCGTCGTGTGTGTTATTCTCCCAGGCTATGCGAAAGTTGTACAGGGCATTGCGAGTTCATTTAGAAGAGAGGGAGAGGGGGTAAAATACTAAATTATGATGTTCCAAATCCTTATGCTGAGGAATTAGGGATGGAAGAGGAGGGAGTGACAAGTATAGGAGAGGTGGGGGGCGGGCCGGGGGGGTATGACACGTATGCGACTCCTGAAGACAGCGGCAGCAGCAGAAGTGAGTACCTGGTTGTCATGTTTGTTACTGGATCTGGTGGAGACTGTCACAGTTCACTCTGTGACCAGTTTCCGCATCTCCATCTTGCAATTGTGGCTGACGTGAGCATATATTCTGCATGTAGTGGTGTCTATTCATGTCGGTGTGTGTGCGTATGTGTATGGAGATATGTGTGTGTGTGTGTGTGTGTGTGTGTGTGTGTGTGTAAAGCGTGTGTGCAAGAGCACAGCAAATGATGCTCCAGTACACGTGACGTGTACTCCATGCCATTGACTTATCAGGGACGCAGCCCAAGGTTACAACAATAGTACTCGATTCTTTGTCATCGGTTCCGTTGTAATCGTTTTCTATATGCCATGGACTTGATGAAAAGACTTGGACTAAGCCACAAGGTGTAGGAGAACAAACAACAGCAAGAAGCATAGGCTGGAGGGCACAGGGGGGCGGGTGGGCAGATAAGCAACATCAATCAGTGAAAGTGAACCAAAAAGACACAGCACAAGACGACCAACAAGGCAAAGGATAACAACCACATCAAAGGACACAGACTGGAGGGTACAGGGGAGGTGGGAGGGGAGACAACACAAGCACACAAAACAGCCAAACCAGAAAAATTACAAGCCCCAAGAAAATAGAAAGACCACAAAAAACAAAAGCTGATGGTGAAAGGTTGTTTCGTCGGAGTTGCACCGACTCGTCAGGAGGCTGAACCCTCAACGATCTGCGGAATCTCCATGTTGATGGCATGGGTCATGAACCCTTTTGACCCATGTTGAAGGCAGGCTGTCCCCAAGCGGAACAAAGCAGTGGGCAGCAACTCAGCAAAGCACCAGGCAACGCTGCCAAGACAACACAACTGCACAACACCAAAAGAAACTGCAAGGAATGACAAGGCAAGTGGACAAGTAGATCAGCAGCCGTGCGGTGAAGCACAAGGCAACACCAACAAGACAGCCAAACTACACGGCACACAAGCAAGGGCTGCGGAAGGCACAGCATACGGATGCGAAACAAGGCAGCAGAGCAGCGAGGCACAAGGCAACACCAACACTGCAGCCACACCACACATTGAACACGACACCTTGCAAACAACGACATGCGACACAAGTGGGACGGGCAGTGGCGGAGCGTAGACAAGGCAGTCGACACATCCAGCACGGAGCGAAGCGGCACATCACCTACTCATGTCATGGGTGAACCCTGCAGACTGTTGGTTCCCACCACCCACTGAGCCAAGGAGTCACACCGACTAACGTCCGTCATCACCTGTAGGGAAGACGGACATCCCAAACTGAGCGTCCCTCCTAAGAGTGCTGCAGGCACTCCAAACGAGGAATGACCGAGTGTTTGGCACTGCTTAAGGGTGCTCAGCTCGGCGCACAAAATGTAACAAAAATTAGCAAGAAAGCATACAAAAAGAGACAGACAATCATACATACATAAAACTGATTGTCTGTGTGTGTGTGTGTGTGTGTGTGTGTGTGTGTGTGTGTGTGTGTGTGTGTGTGTGTGTTTGGTACACAACTCCCAAAAAACACGCATGACTGTGCCAGACTGTTTTGTCTGACTTTCACCGACTCATCTGTCAGGTGGTTGAACCTGGACTGACAGTCTGGCCAGGATGCATTTGACTGATGGATAAGGACTCACCACATCACCTAGTGTTAGCAGCAATACGGTTGAAAGAGAAAAGTGGTCGACTTTACTCGCACCAACCTTGCAATCCTAGCAGACTGTAAGCCTCCATGTGTGTGTGTTGTCATGTTCGCTATACACAACTCCATGAAGTAAAGCATGTCTGTGCCGCACTGTTTCGTGTGTGTGTGTGTGTGTGTGTGTGTGTGTGTGTGTGTGTGTGTG